AGAGAACCGCAGAGGGAGGAGATGGAGGGAAATCTGGTCTAATGATTTACTATCGTCTATGGAAGGAGAAGGGAAACAAGCTACTCCAGATCTGTTATTTTTGAAGGCTAAATGGTGATGTGTACAATGCCTATCTGTTTGTGGACGGTTCCCTCATCGATTGCTTGCAGCTTAAATACTGGGAAAAATCAATGGAAGAGAGACAAGGTGTTTCGATGTTATTCAACATCTGGTTACCTGCTTAAGAGTGGGAGGGTAGGCCACAATAGGCCTGGGGCTTTGACTTGGCTTCCTAGCAGCTCCTGGCTACATCAGTTGCTGTGAGAATGTAGCTACAAAATAGGAGTGGCAAGAGCCAGCCCTATCATTCTACCCAGAACATGGAATCTCCAGTTCAAAATGTTGTCACTCCTGGGGTCTGGGGGCAACTCTCACAGTCATCCTTTCCTGGTTGAATTTATGAGAGCTGATTTCTGCCTTGTCACACTTCCTCTTTTACATCCTGGAACAACAACATATTAAGGTATGAGTCAGACTCTACTGCAGTTTTTATATACATTGATTAATGGAATTCTCACAACAACCTCACTTGTCACAGATGAGGAAATGAGGCTCAGAGAAACATGTGGAGCCGCTGGTGAGTGCTGGACCCACTCTCTTAGCTAGACCAGCAGTCCTCTGTCTTAGCCTCACTACAGACATCTGGAGACCATTAAAGACATAATAACAGCACAACAACTAACCAATGCCTGGACCTTCCCAGACTAGTTAAATCAGACTCTCTGGGGGGAGTGGAGCCAGGGCTGCCTTTCTTTTAAAAGCTCTGCAGGTGAGGCTAATATGCAGCCCCCTTGAGAGCCACCATGTTAGACCATGCGACCTCTCCAAGACAATGGTAAGAAAAAGAAGAAGAAGAGAGAAGGAACGAGACAAACACCTTTTTAAAAAATCCCCTCTGTATACCAAATGCTTATTCTTTTCTAATCCTTCCAGCAACTGGAAAATTATTCCCATTTCATGGATTTGTAAGCTTTCTCGGTTACTTGACCAGAGAGGTTAGGCAGTTTTTCCCCAAGACCCAGTGCTCCTAAGCAGCAGGGAAGCGATCTGAGCCTGGGTTTGTGTTCAGGTTACTGCACTACACAGCTAAGAAACACACCTCTGGCTCACACTGAGGCCTCAAAAGAAATCAAGCCAGGCCTATAAGAATTGGAGCTTGGAGCAAGTTAGAATTTCAGTAGCAGGAAACAGTTATGGAAGGTTTACCTAGGAGAACAATAAAGCAGAGATACCTGAGAGGAGAGAGAGAAACAAGGTACACCAGACAAGGGAAAGGAGCAGGAGAAACAGTGAGCAAAGTCTTACAGGCACTTATTACCCAGTTCCACAACCCTGTGCAGAAGGAACTGTAATTATACCCCTTCTACAGATGGGAAAACTGAGGCCTAGTTAAGTTAAGCCACACTTTCAAGTCACACAATCAGTAAATGGTATATCGAGGAATGAAAACCCGGGTCAAGGGTCCAAGTGCCTCACCATACAGTTTACACTGCTCATCACTTTTCAAAGAAAGAGGAAGAAAAGGCAGACAGGGTTTATTTTGCTTAATGCTCCAGAGCAGGCACTTTACAGTCATTGTGTAATTGAATTGCTTTAACGTCCTTGAAGGTGACTGTGACCTGCAGCTTGGGTTAAGGAAACCAAGGGTCACCAGGGTTCAAATATTTGCTTCATGTCTTGACAAAACTAAAGCAGCAATCAGTACCCAGATGGATTCAGCTAACTCCCAACATGAACAACACTAAAGCTTGAAATAGTATAAAATTACTAAAGGCTAAAAAACACAGCGCAGAGAGCTCTACGATGGGAAAGACAGAAAATGGGAGAAGACTGACATGGATTTCATTATGCTAATTGGAAATTGGGATATGACTGAATGAGGAAATATTTTAATGTTGTTTGGCCAGGGAAGAACTGTAAATAGACAGTAGAAAGTGGTTTGGAAATAAACATACCAAACAAATACCAGATATTCTTATCTTTATTGGTTATTTTGAACTCAGGCACAATTGTACTGAACAGAGGGTAAATAACCTGTATATACTAATGCTTCCCTTAGTGCCCACCTGAGACTATAAACCACCGGCAGAGTGGTTCACATTTGATTGCATCTGACCTTGAAAATTCAAACCATTTTCTTTGATCACTCCTTTTACTCTACAACTCTTAGCACTATAAATTCAGCTTTTAATTGAACTTGCTTCTGAAAGTACAGCAGGATACTGACATCCTTCGGTATCCACAGGGGATTGGTTCCAGAACCTTATGAGATACCCAAATCTGCAGGAGCTCAAGTATCTTAGTATTTTTCATATAATTTATGCACATTGTCCCATATGCTTTTAATAAAAAAAAAGATTACTTATTGTGCATAGTACAATGTGAATAGTTGTTATGATATATTGATCAGGCGATAATGACAAGGAAAAAATGTTTGTACGTGCTCAGTACAATTGCCCCAGTAATTTTTAAAATATTTTCAATTCATGGATGGTTGAATCCTTGGATGGGGAACCTGTAGATAGAAACCTGCAGAGACAGAAGGCCAACAGTAAGCTAGGTGTGGTGCTGCACACTTGTAACCCCAGTGATGTGGGAGGCTGAAGCAGGAAGACTGCAAATTTGAGGGCTTGTAACCTAATGAGGCCCTCAACAATTAGTGAGACACTGTCTCTAAATAAAAAGTTAAAAGGACTGGGGATGTAGTTCATTGATAAAAATACCCCTGAGTTCAATCCCTATTACCAAAATAAGAAATAAAAAATAAAAACTGGGCTGAGGATATAGCTCAGTTGGTAGAGTGCTTGCATTGCATGCACAAGGCCCTGGGCTCAATCCCCAGCACCACAAAAAATAAATAAATAGATACTAAAAAAAAATAAAAGGCCAACCATATATGCTTTTTATTAATATTTTTTGAGAAAATAGGCACAAAAGTATAAAGGGTAAGCCCCTCTAACCACAGTCTCTGTTTAGTGAGTAGTTTTCTACATGTTTCTATGCACATACCAGCTTGAATATGTCAGTATTACCAAAATGATTTTTTTCTTTTGCCAAACTCTGATGAAATTCTTGGTTGTAGTAAACAGCATTGATATATTCCATTTGTATAGAACCAAGAAGAAGAAAAATTTTTTTAAATCAAAATTTCATGCTTTAGAAAAGGGTAAGGCAGAAATATCACTTAAGTGAGAGTCAAAATACTCTTTTCTCAATTTGTATGAGAAATACAGCATCAGCAAGCATCTTCTATGGATCTTTTCGTGGCCCTCACCTAGAGGTGACATTGGATTTCTTGAATGAAAAATGTCCCCTTTCAATGAGGTTTTATTTGGGGTTAGTATCAATACCAAAAGTTATGGGAAAACCCTGTATCCAAATATAAATGTTCTAGAATGTTCCAAATTAAAATTACAATTATTATTATTATTTTTAACACAAATGGCATATAAAATTAGCTTCCCTTCCTTTTTACCACTTTTAAGTCTTTGAAATTTTGCCCTATTGTTCCTTGCATGGCTTTTCATGTGTCTATGGCAAAGTTTCTTTTGATTCCTTCATATTCTCCATGCTCTGCACACCATATATGCCAAATAAATGTTTGTTGACTTTACTGAATATTTTGACTCTATTGGTTTGCTAGGGCTGCCATCACAAAGTGCCATAAATGGAGTAGCTTAAGTAACAGAAATTTATTGTCTCACAGTTCTAGAGGTTGGAACCCTGAAACTGAGATGTCCTCAGGTTGGTTCTTTCTGAGGACTATGAGACAGAATCTGTTCCAGGCCTATCTCTTTGGTTTGTAGATGTCTGTCTTCTCTTTGAATTTCTTCACATCATATTCTTTGGTAAATGTCTACCTCTGCATCCAAATTTTTTTTGTGTGTGTGATGTTTTTTGTTTTGCAGTACCGGCTATTGAACCCAGGGTCACTCTACCACTGAGCTGTCTCCACAGTCCCTTTTATTTTATGATTTTGGTCTTTATTATTTATTGTATGTATGTGTGTGGTGGGGTGAGTAATAAGGATTTAACCCAGGGATATTCTACCTCTGAACTACACTCCCCAGTTCAGTTCATTAATTTTATTTCAAGATAGGGTCTTGCTAAGGTGCCCAGGCTGGCTTCCAAATTGTAATCTTCCTGCTTCAGCCTCCCAGTTGGCTGGGATTATAGGTGTGCACCACCCTCCCCAGCTAAATTTTCCCTTTTCATGAAGAAGCCAGTAAAATTGTATTAGGGTCCACCCTAATGACTACATCTTACCTAATTATATCTGCAATAACCCTATTTCCATAAAGGGTCATATTCTGCTGGGCGTTGTGGTGCCTGCCAGTAATCCCCAGTGACTCAGGAGACTGAGGCAGGAGGATCACAAGTTGAAGGACAACCTGGGCAACTTAGCCAGACCCTTGTCTCAAAATAAAAAAACCAAAAGGGCTGGAGTGTAGTTCAGTGCTATGTAGAGCATCCTTAGGTTCTATCCTTGGCATGAAAAAAAAAAAAAAGTCATATTCTGAGTGAGATGCTTGCAATTAAGACTTCAAAATAAAAATTCAGAGTGAGAAGAGGCCTTAAGAAGTCATTAGTTAGCTTATCTAATTTTTTTCTTTTTTTTTTTTTTTTGGTACTGGGAATTGAACCTAGGGGCACGTAACCACTGAGCCACATCCCCAGCCCTTTTTATTTTTTATTTTGAGACAGGGTCTCACTAAGTTGCTTAGGGCTTTGCTAAATTGCTTAGGCTGGCTTTGAACTTGCAATCCTCCTGTGTCAGCCTCCCAAACCGCTGGGATTACAGGCGTGCACCACTGCACCCGGCTGATCCTTGAGTCCTCTTTTACCCAGGCCAAGAAGAGTATTTAGAATTTTAATAATATTTTTGGCAACATATGGGAGGGTTGTTTTTGTTTTTTAATGTTTCTCTCTGTGCTTTCCAGAATGGTTCCCGCTGTCGAAGCCTCAGAGCCTTCAGATTGTCTGGAACAGGTGAGCATCACATTGGGGAAGCTGTTTTTTAGGCAGGAAGAAGAGATATGTCCCTGGACCTTGGTCCACTGAACAACCTCCAATGCCTTGACCTGGGGCCTCTGAGTCCCAGAAAGAAGCTCTGAGAGACCCAGCCCCCTGTGAATGTGTTGGTTTTTCTCTATGAACCATTTTACTTTCAGTGAGTTAGGTCATTAAAATTGTTTTGTGCCCCTCAGTCATGCCCCAGGCCCTGAGAACAGGGAGTGTTGGCTTGCAAGAAAACCTAGTGGGTTTATTATTCTCTGACACAGAGAAACCAAATAACATCATTGAGTGGCCATTGGAGGGGGAACTTGATTCATGGAGGTCATGCTTTCCCAGGCCCTCTCAACGCAGTCTCGGCTCAGACCAGGGCAGACTTTTATTACCAGCTTTCAACAAATCCCTAGTTTCTTTTGCAAAGTAAAACAGATAATAGAGACATTCCGGGAATAGTTAGCTAACTAAGCTGTGCCAGGCAACCTCGGGGCTAAGAAGAACTCAGTGTTTTCGGACAATGACCAATTACAATAACCAGTATTATTTGATCTGAGAGTAATTAGCCGAGCCTCTGTTCTTTTTGCTTCAGTGAGGAGGCAAAAAGGGCAGTGAGGAAAACATCAGAGACAGGGGAAACGAGCTCAAATGTCAAAGAAAAACACACTCACACAGGTGGGGAGAAGTGAAGAGTTTCACAAGCCAAGATCCTAACCGAACGTTTGAACATTGCTCTTGACTGAAAATATGGAATAGTTGAATCTAACCAAATGTCCTTTGACTGTTCCATTCCTACTCTTTGCATGCTTTAAAAAGTCACCACGTAGACTGAATACCAGAGCACAAAGGATAAATAGGTTGGAAACAGAGCTATGGACTACCACAGGACTTTGTATTGGGAGGATGACTTGAAACTCCTCATTATCTCAGGGGAAGCTTCCAGAGAATTGCTGTTTATCATTTCATTCACATTTTCTCTTGCCAGTGTAGTCAGGTTCCCTAACCCCTAGCCAGAAACATTTGGATTTTCACACTGCCCATGGCTTGCTTTCATTCCACTATTGGTTTTCAAAATAAATGGTACCTCCACACCTGTGAGGCATCCTAATGCTGTCTGGAGCTGCAGCCTCCTGCTGTTTGCCCACCAGCCCTTCCTTCTGGGCCAAGCACGACTTGAATCCCTACTCTGACTTTTCTGACTACACAACTCCTACCACCTCTGCCCATCCCCTTGCCCATGGCAGTGTCTTTGCCTCTGCTTAGGCTTTTCTCTGCTCAGATTCTCAAAACAAGGAGTAATGTCTGGAGCTGTGCTAATACAGAAGCCACTAGTCGCACATGGCTATTTAAACTTAAATATTCCAAATTAAATTTAAAGTTCAGTTGCTCAGTTGCACAAGCAGCATTCCAAGGACTCAAGAACCATATGTGTGCAGTAGCTACCATATTGGGCAGAGCAGAAATAGAATATTTCCATCATCAATGAAAGTTCTTTTTTTTTCAGTACTGGAGATTGATCCCAGGAGTTACACTGAGTTACATCCCTACCTCTTTTTATTTTGAGACAGGGTCTAACTTGCTGAAGCTGGCCTTCAACTTGTGATCCTCCTATCTTAGCCTCCTGCCTTAGCCTCCTGGGATTACAGGTGTGCACCATGGCACCTGGCTCCTCAAGGAAAGTTCTTTTGGGCAGTGCTGGCCTAGATTATCACATGAGAAAATTCTTGGTGCTCAAAAGGGCCCTGCAAAGAGCAGTAGCATTAGGTGAGCTATATACTACGTGCTTAGCAGAGTGCTGCTTATATTATTACATTCAATCCTTACAAATGTCATTTTCATGTCAAAGAGGAAGAAACTAAGGATCACAAATGCTAACTAACCTGGCCAAGGTCAACCAGTTAGGTAGCTGGTGGAGTCAGGATTCATCTTGTGTACAGGTCTCTATGGATTGCCAACTGAATCTACAATTCAATTGTTAGTGTGGTTAAATCAAGACCAGCTGACTTTTCATGACTTTTCTACATGATTCCTACAGAGGTGTGGTGGAACTATGCTCAGGCCTGTAAACGGGCACAGGTTCTCGCTAGGGGTTTTATGGTGACCTCTTTAATGTGGACCTAGTAAGACACACTCTTCAGACTGATTAGCAAATTGTAAGACAGCTTCTCTGATGTTGTTTCTTCCTAATGCCAGTGATTGCTTCCTATGGGCATTTACTTTATCATGTCCTAAACTGGAAGCAGTAAGAAAATTACCTACTCCATTCCTTCCCTTTTCCTTTCTATGGTTTCTGGGGGGGAGCAAAAAACCCAGTTAAGCTCAAGGTAACCAGGCTCATCCTGTGCTGCAAAGATCAATGGCAGCAACGGGGGTGGAGATTTTCATACTTAGAGCCAGGTTGTGCTAAGAAATTAAAACCACTGTCTCATTCTTCTGAGAACAACTAGATTTAACATATGTTGAATGATGGGATCATAGACAGTGTTTGACATAATCACAAAGACTGGGCTCAGCACCCTGAATGGAGAGTATACCTGCCAGACCTCCTCAGTCCTCCTCCTTCAGGCTCCTTTTAGTCCTAACTGACCTGGAAATCTGCAAGGACTGGGGATTTCCAAATTTCTTCTTCATCTTGTCTATGAAGAATTTATTCCTGAGTTGGAGGATAGTAATCTGTTTGCAGAAACAGTCTTATGTCATGGAAATCAGGGACCTGAAAAATTCTTATGCAAGCCTAGTGCAAAAATTAGGCAAATTACAAATGTGCACCAAGACCTCTAGCATCCCAGCACCATGGAATGCAGAGGGAAGAAGTCTCTGCTTTCTTGCTTTTGCTCTAAGTTGGTATGTGAATTTGATGTTAAGTAAGCTGCTCTGTTTTTTGCTTGATTGTTTCATGACCATGCAATTTAATTTTGAATTCAAACATCAGTCCTGTGGTTAATTGTCTTCCAGGATCTGCATAGTTTTCCTTCTTGTGGCTTTCTACTTGTAAACCTATTTGTGGCTTGTAGAGATGGATGTACTTAAATGATAGGCACTAGATTAGCAAAAACTTTAAAGCATTGTAAGTAAACAGGCAACAGGAACGACGTCCCCTGCAAGGAAATTGTCATACCTACTTGGCTAATGGCTCCCAGCAGTCCCCTACCTTACCACTCTCCCCAGGTTCATTTCAGGCGCCTCTCCCTCTCTTTTTACCAAGCCAGTCACTAAGCCTTGATTCCCTTTAAACTCACTCTTCTCCCTTCCACTCCAGGCTCTGTATGAGCACCAGAAATTTCTGCAGCAATGTCTTCCCCTTGCCTGTCCCCAGTTCTTCAGCTCTCAGCTCAAATGTCACTTCCTCAAGAAAGTCTTCCCTGGGGCTGGAGTCGTGGCTCAGCAGTAGAGTGCTTGCCTTGCACATGCAAGGCTCTGGGTTTGATCCCCAGCACAACATAAAAAAATAAATAAAATAAAGGTATTGTGTCCAACTACAACTAAAAAATTAAAAAAAAAAAAAAAAGAAAGTTTCCCTTAATGCCTTCTCCCATTCTGGGCCAGGTATCAGGGCTGTCTTGATTTGGGTGGCTATAATAAAATACCTGCGATTATGTAATGTATAATCAACAGAAATTTATTGCTCACAGTTCAGGAAGCTGGGAAGACTAAGATCAAGGCCACAGTAGATTTGGTGACCGGTGAGAACTCTGTGCTCAAAGATGGTGTCTGTTTGGTGTGTCCTCATATGGTAGAAGGGGCAGTCTCCTTTATAAAGGCACTAATTCCATTATGAGGCTCTATCTTCATAATCTAATTACCTCCCAAGGGCCCCATCTTCTAGTACCATCATCTTGGTGATTAGATTTCAACCTAAGAATTTCAGGAAGAACAGAAGCATTCAGACTAGAGCAGGAGCCTTTTCTTCAAAGTGGTCCCTATGCATTTTTGTGATAATTTGGTGAACTTCTGGCTTACTAGACCAAGATGCCAGAAGACAGTCTTGCCCCATACCCCCCAGAGCCAACCACTCACTAGCACATAATAATTGTTTGATAAATTATTTTATTCATCTCCAAATATACAGTTCAACATAAAGTCAAGCTGAAAACTCATCCTTCATGTGATTTGGGTGCTTAATTATCTCTCTTGTTCTGCTCTATCTCAGGAAGAATGAAGAGGACTTCCCAGCTAAAAACCCTGGGGCTCAGCTTCAGAAACACTATAAATAATTGAATTTTCCACTGGAGCTTCACCTTCAGGAATCCCCTCTCTCCCTCCAGGGTTCCTTGCTTGATGCTTTTGGCGTCCAGACCTAGAAAGCATTGTCAATTGGGCTTTTCCGCTTGGTTGAGGCTGCTGTGTCTATCCAAGAAGAATCCTTAATTATATATTTCTGTTTCTATAATTACAAAACTGTGTCCTTTATGTGTACATGGTGCCCAGAGACAAGGTAGAGGGCAGGCAAGCTGAAGGATAGAACTTTGAGATTTTTTTTCCCCCTTAATCTTAGTAATAGGACAGATAAGAGTTTCAGGACGAAGGTTATTACTCCAACAATTGTGGTAATCCCAGGAAAGTTCTTTTTGAAACATTATTCTATATCTAACCTTTTCTATACTTTTAGCCATTTCCTTTTCTATACATTTCACACACACACACACACACCCTCCCCCCTCCTCCCCCAACCTTTATTTTCCAGGATGAAGGCCTTGGAGAAACTCTATTTCTCTCTCCCACTTTTCCAGGCTGGGCAGGGTTCCTGAAGCTGAAGACTTGGCCTCCCAAATGTTGAAGGGCTTTCCTAGAGACCGGGTCTCCGCCCAGGAAGCACTGGGCCATGATTATTTCAGTGCTCTGCCCTCCCAGCTGTACCAGATTCCTGATGGTGAGTGAGGAGTGTGTGCATGCGCATGGGTGTTAAGTTTCCATGTCTTCAGTGTTCAACCTGGAGAATCATAAAATGAAGATAATAATTAATTTGCCTGCAGGAATGCAAGATGGGACCGAATCTTGCCTGAGTTTTGCATGAGATTCTCTAAAACCCTGAAGCACTGGTAGAGAGGTGACAAGGATCCAACATTTCAAACACACAACTTATACTTAGAAATTGGATGAGATGAAAGTTCCCTCTGAGTTGTTTGCTTTAGCTAGCATCTGCCAGGAGAAGCAAAACCAAAATTTCTAACAAGCCCCTTCTCTCTTTCCATAGAGAGTAAGATGATAGGTGACATGGATATGTCAGAGAGCAGAGCTGGGCCTTTCTTGATTGGTAACATGATGCTGCAGAAGGAAGTGTGGAGGTGGGGCACTGTGGGGAGGGAAGCACCCTCCCAGGCCAGCTGCCCGCTGGAGAGGCAAGTTACCCTGAAATCAGCCTTTGCTGCCTGGGCCTGAAGTCATCCTCCAAATCTGAAATCTGCTGAGGGGTCATGTGGTTGGAGCTGTCCTCTTGTTCCTCAGAATGTGGCCAGGAAGGGCTATAAGGAGGATGTGGGCACTGTGGTCAAGGTCTGGGCTGTTTGAGGGGACTGTCCTTAGGTGGGGTTTCTTTGAAAATATCCACCATTCAACTGAAAACAGTTTTTAGGAGTCCTGAGGCAGAGAAAAGGAAGCTAAGCAGGAGGGTCTAGGGGTTCAGACTGTGAAGAGAGGACTGAGATGGGAGGAGGGGGCAGGGAGAATGAGGTTCACTGGGGTGCAGTGGGGTGAGGAGTTATTGCCCGGGAGGTGTAGACACAGTCTGGTCCAAGTGGCCAGGGTTTTCAAATGCAGTTCCACTGTATCTGTGTCATTGTCCTGCAGTAGTTCAAAACTCTTAGTTTGGGACTTGTTGAGGAATTTTATTATTAAAGTGAGTCATTTAAGATCTCCAAAAATAACTGTAATCATACAACTGGGGTTAATGTCTTACTTACCCTTGTAGGAAGAATCAGTCATTCGAATTTATTAAGTTGACATAAGTGTCAAGAACATATGAAGTGCTATAAAAAGTTGAAGAAAACAAGAGACTTGTCCTTGGCCTCAAGGAGTGGGAGGAAAAGAGGGTGAGGAAGAGGAAACAGGGCACCCTCGTACACATATTAGCACAAATCATATCTAAACAGCTAAAATCTGTGCGTAATCAACTGCAGATGTTCAGGACTGCGTGTGCTAACGGCAGTTCTTTGGAGAAACTAGAATAATTCAAGTGAGATGGATTAGGCTGGAGGTGAATCTGAAGTGGAATTCGAAAGGAGGGGAGGGACAGGGTTTGGCATGTGGGTGGAATGAAAGATGTGGCAGGCCGACCTACAATTCTCACTTCCTTCCTGGCATCTCTGCCCCACTTCAGCCCCACCTTGTCCTCTCCCATCCCAATCCCCTCTTCCCAACCTCAGTCCCTAGCTCTTTCCTTCTTAGCTTTCTTCTTTGGGGTTTGGGATTTCTAACTCCATCACATCGTGCAAGTGTCCATGCTTGGGTGTACACACACCCTTCTCCCCACTTAAAAGAAACCTCCCCCATCAGCCCTCTCCAGGGTCTATTATTCTGAGAACTGCTGGGGGATCTTCAAAGTTTTCTGGGCACCAGCTTTTGCTTGATGAAGGGTAATTAGGAAGAAACAATCACTGTCCAATTGATGTGTTGTTGGAAACTTGAGTTTTGATTCATCCTGGCAAAGCCACCAACAGAGGGGCCCTGGTACATGTATGTCTAGAGGGGTGTGTGTGTGTGTCTGTCTGTGCGCAAGGGTGAGAGAGACAGAACAATCTGTATTCCTTCTCTGTTCACCCAGCCACAGAGCCCAAATCTACTTTGACACTTTTAGAAAAATGAAAAGATGGAATCTTGCAGGAGCCTGCCTGTGCTGGGGGGAGATGAGGGGTGCTCGCAGCAGGAGGGAAGTTGACTTTTCTTTATACATATAGGGGTTTTTCCATGCAGAGTTTAAATTATGCCTGATAAAAGGAGTTTCGTGGATGTTTCAGTTCTTTCAAATTCTCCTGGCTTCCTCCCAATTAAATGAGGTTTGTCAAAGCCACAGGGCTCTGCTGCTGCTGCCTCGGCGGACAAGCACTTCCTGCAGCGACATCTCGAATCCCTGAGGGAGAAGATGAAAGGGCCAGCGCCAAGAGACAGGGGAGGGGGGCGAGTGTGTGTGCATGCACGTGCATATGTGTGTGTGTGTGTGCATGTGCCCGTGCGTGTGCATGTATGCTATGGGGAGGGGGTAGAAATACATAGAGAGACAGATCGACATTAGGACAGGGGACAAGTAGAGAAGAAAGGCAACGCTACCGGGAAAATTGGTAAAAGAGGTAGAAGAAGAGAGAGAAGCCCCTGAAGCCAGTTTGTGCACCTTCGATACAGTGGCCCTTGCCAAGGGCGCATTATCCACGAAGGGCTGCATTCCCTGGGCCTGGCAGTGCCAGTCTGCTTTTTCATTGCCCCTGGCAAAGAGCCTTTGTTAAGAGTCTCCTTTGCAGACAGACAGCACCAGTGGGTAATCACCGTTCCCAACCTGCGGGGACATAAAATCTCCATTACCAAGGTGGGCTGCTGCCCCAGGCATGAGAATCTAGCAAAAATGAGGTACGCCCTTGTTGGTGATTTGTAAGGAGAGTTTTCTGACCATAATTATGCAAGAAATTTTACTTTCTGGTAGCATTTGAGTATGGAATCATTTAGGAGCTTATATTTATATCAATTTATTATTCTGGTTGCAGGATAACAGAGTTGTCACTTTAAAATATATTCTGTTTCCCCTTTGATCTGGAAGATGCCAGCTATTATTGTCTGCCCTCTGAAGAAGACAATTAAAGCATGAAACCTGTGCCTGGGAAATATGTGGAGGGCAAAGGAATAGCCTAAATCTCAGCAGAAGCGTGGCTTAGCCTTTCCCCCCAAAAGAACGGCTCCCACATCCAGCCAGCTTGATTTTCATCAAACCAAGTCCCGAATAACACTTTCTCTAGATTGTAGCAGCCCGCTCAGAGCCAGAGGAAATTTATCAGGGGGTTATTTGCCATGAAAAACCAGGAATTCCAGGATTTGTTCCCTTTTGGAGATGGCTCTTAAGTGGAAAAGCGTGAATACGGGAATGGAAAGCATGTGGGAACCTCAGCCAAGCTCTGACATTTTCCCTCATTGACTCTTGAACACCTGAAGAAACATTTGTTGAAGGAGAAATTATTGGTAGTCCCTCTCAAAACACACCCAACATCAAACTAATTGCTTTTGCAGATGGCCAGGGAGCCGCTCTCCCCACTCAGGCACCAGCTTACGGCCACACTTGTGGTCCCCCTGGCTGAGCCAGCAGTGCAGCACGTCAGCTGGGGCAGCAAGGACCTAAAATTAGGCTGTTGGCAACTCTCTAATCTTAGCTGCAGGTTCAGCCTCTTCACTTAATTCCCTTTGCCCCCAGCATGAACTTGGGCTCTGGGAAAGGAACACTGCTTAATGATTTGGGGGCGGGGGGGAGTAGAAAATCATTAAGCTGCCCCTTCTAGAAACTGGCTCCACTCTGGTCTTTACAGGAAGCCTTCCAAATGTTGCCCTTGGAAAGTTAAGACTGATTTTGGAACCTAGCCATTTTGAATTACACACACTGATCCAGAAAAGTTTTTTTTTTTTTTTTTTTTCATCTGGGGCAGCAAATGCCACGTGATTTAAGAGTCTGGTCCTTAAGCCACCGTCCTTGATTGTCAAGACATCAAAGGCTGTCTCTCTCTCTCTGTCTCTCTCTCTCTCTCTCTGGGTTGGTCCTATTTTCTCTCCAAATCCCAGGCTTCAGTGTCTACTGTTCCTCTTCCTGGACTAAATCCCCCTTCTCCTTTAAAACAGATTTTAGCATCTTGGGAAAAAAAATTTAAAACTTAAAAGCTTGCAGTTGTTTCACAAGTAAGTTTCTGAAAACAATGTGCCGCAGGCTGTATTGTCATCGTGTACTTTTGTACACACAGGGTGGAAGGAGGCATGGCTTTGCCCTGCGTATCTTCACACCACCCTAATACCTATATGCTTCAAGTTCTTCAGCAAGCCCCGCTCAGATTGCCCCATTAAAATCTAAGCCATATTTTGTTTTACTCTAAACAAATTCAGGCCTTCTTTTAATATTACTTTAATGTACTGGAAAATCCCTGTGATATCCCTTCCCAAACGTCACTTCTCTAGGCTGAATATCTTCCACCATTTTTGTTGTTGTTTCCAAATGTAGATTGTTTCTTCCACTTTCTTTCTTTCTTTTTGCTTTTTATTTCGAGGGGAGGGGGGTACCCAGGATTGAACACAGGGTCGCTCAAACTTTGAGTCACATCTCCAGCCCTTTTTTATATTTTATTTTGAGACAAGGTCTCCCTTAGTTGCTTCACTAAGGCCTAAGTTGTGGAGGCTGGCTTTGAACTTGCAATCCTCCTGTCTCAGTCTCACTAGCCACTGGGATTATAGGCGTGCGCCACCACACCCAGCTGATTCTTCCACTTTCTTAGTCTATTCTGAATCCATTCCAATTATTTTGCTTATCTCAAAGATTCTGAACCCAGTGTAGACTCAGGTCTCTAATACAGTGGGAGAATTATGTTCCAGTTCATTCAACAAAGATTTACAAGTGTCTATTAGTTGTGATTTTGAAAATAATAGAAATGAGTTACTCATGGACCCTGTCCTCAAACAGCTTCCAGTCATTAAGGAAATGAGACAAGTATGTAAACAATTACAGATCAGATAACATATTTAAATGCTCCGAGAAGCAGAGATTAACCAGATTAAAGCCAGCTGTGGGGATCCAGGATGACTTTGAAAGAGGGAGTCCTAAAAGATGATGAGTCTGGAGGGCCAGGGAGAAAGGACATCCAGGGAAAGAAATGTCATGTTCCTCTTCAAACCATGCAATATCATCCTAAAGCT